GGGCTGGAGCAGAAAGTGCCACAGCCAAGTGGGTGCGTCGGGCTGGGAGGCGGTAGCTGGAGTAGAGTCCCGGGTTGAATTGGAAGTTGTTGTCTGCTCGCCCATCTGCGTACGCTGTCCCTGTCACATCAGGCACAGAAACTTCCATCTCAGCAGGTCATCTCCTAAAGCCAGGCATAATCCACTGTCCTGCTGTTCCGAGGAGGATTATGAAGGGCTGTGTGGGACCAGATGCACGTGGAAAAAATACCTGTAAGGGTTGACATCAATACTTGCTCGGCCCCAGAAGAGAAACAGGACTTTAAATCCAACCAGGTAGCTCAGAAATTCATGGTATCTCCGTGGCATGACCCTGTCGATAGAAAAACCCGGCTTCGGGCTGAGTCCCAGACCAGTCTCTGCTCAGGTCAACATGCTGCCCAAGCTGGGCCAGGGAGCTGAAAGGCAGTGCAGGAGGGAGAGGAGGCTGCAGCGGGCTCGAGCTGGGGGGGGCACTTGCCATCCTGGGAGCACAATCCCCCCACGGCATGGCACAGCACAGCACGGAGGCCAGGCTGCCCCTGGTCAGGGCAGGGTTGGTGACCAGGCTGACGGCAAACGCCGGAGCTGGGATGTCCCAAGGAGGCAGATTGGGGTTGGAGGGACACCGTGACCATGAAGCCCCCAGCATCCAGCTGATGGTGCCTGCTCAGCGTCACCAGGAGAGCATCACCTCGGGGGGGGGCAGTTGGGAAGCAGCCTCACTGCTACCACTTGATAAATGGAAGTAAATGGCTTCAGTGTCATTTCATCGCTGCATTTCCAGCCAGTCCTATTTTGGACTGTCCTGGAGGCAGAGCCATCAGGTGCTCCCTCGGCCATGGCACTCCCAAACCCACCGCCTGGCGTCTTTGGGGCAAAAAAGGCAGGTTGTGGGTTTGCAAACCTGGGCACCGAGGCTGCGGATATGTTTAGATGCGGTTTTTGGACGAGGGCGCAGACACACAGAGGCAGTCTGGCTCCCCACAGCCCCGCTGTCATTGCGA